GTCCTGTTTGGACGAAACAAATTTTGCTCGGTATACGACTTTTGTTCGGTATACGACTTAATTCAATTATACGCGCCATCTATGAACAAGTAGCACTATCGGTGTACTAGACCAGACTAGACATTTGTGGTTCCACGGTTTATAACTTTGTTAAATTTCTTCTGATTTTAATTTGTAAGTAAAATTTTATTATTTTTATTAATCATGAATTGCAAAAAGGCAAATGAAAAGCAACAGAAAACTAAAAAAATGACTAGAATCACAATGGAACTGATAAGAGATTGTTGAGGAATATGAAGGTGGTACGTGTGTTCGAGATTTAACTGTTGCATACCGTATTTTGAGAATGACAATATCAACAATTGCGAAAAATAAAGACATTATTAAATCTGCTAACATTGGGAAAGGAGTTAAATCAATTTCTAAACAGAGATCGAAGACATTAGATCATGTTGAGAAATTGCTTTTGCTTTGGATAACTGAAAAACAGTGTGCTGGCGACATTGTATCGGAAGCAATTATTTGCGAGAAAGCTAAAAATATACATGCATAAATCAAGCAGGAACTAGCCAGGAAAGCGAAGTGTTTAAAGCCAGCCATTTTTTTTCATGAGAGCAGATTAATCATTTTTACATTACTTCTTACAGGAAATGTTAGTTTGGTATACATCCTATTCGGTGTAAGTCCAAACATTAGGAACGGATTAAGGTCGTATACCGAGGTTCCACTGTATATGGTATGTTATGCTCAAAGCATTCAAAATTTGCATTCTGACTTCTCAGATTCATGCAAATTTCATGTCATGGCACTTTCAAAAATGTGTGTGCACAATGCATTTTAGCATATTTAATAAGACCTTAAAGCAAAAATTGTGTCAATATTCTTCAATAGTCAACCAAAACATGATTTGGCAATATGAAAATTACCAGATCAATACATTGTTGATCCTTATTTTTGCAGCCATGATGCAATGTGATAAAAATATCTGTGCAAAAATAAGTAATAAGGAGGTGTTGCAAGTCACACCTCTTACAGCATTGTCTGCAACTCTGCTGTAGACATTGGAATCAATTTCATGGATCTGAGATATCACTCAACAGCAACAGAGAGATACAATTGGACTTAAATTGGAAATCTCAAGGACCATTGGTTAGTCTGGATCTCTGATGAATGTTCTTTGAGTTATGTCTGGATGGTAATTGCCCAATGGGGTGGAGCATTTCATTGTTCTGCTGAAATATACCATCTCCTTGAGAATGCATGAAGGACATGAAAGCATGTAAGTGCTCAGCCAGCACATTCTGGTAGTTTGCAATATTTGAGAACCTCTCCAGACACAATAAGGAACCTATTGGCCCATATGAGAAGTCCCATATCTTCACAGAACCACCACCATCTTGGACAGAACCTACTTGGAAGAATGGGGGGTATGGTTTCATGTCAATACCAAGAGTGTGGAATATATATGATCATGCAAATGAAGTTTGGGAAAATTAAAGCCATTCCAGGGAAATTTTCAGTAGTAAAAATAATATGGCAATAACAACAAAAACTTTACAATAAAATGGAGTCATGTTTTGGCTAAACATACAGATATTAATTTGGAAAATTTTCCAAAATGGATCTTATGTTTTAAAAGTGAAATTTGAAACATTGTTTACCTTGTTTCTGATCACTTCAGTCACTTGTTATATTGCTGCCTTCTTACATGGTCGTGCACTTGCAATAAGGACAAGATGGTCTCAGTTATGGAAACATGGTTTTGATTTTTATGAAAAAACTGAATCAAAAAAGAAAATTGTTTTTATTTAAATAGTTTTGAATGGGTGAAATTGTGTGTTAGCTTGAATTAAAATGAAATATTCACTTATTCTTCACAAGGAAGATTTGAAAATTAATAAACTGCATTTACCAACTTTTTCTGAATTGTCTCAACTAAATAAAAGTTTTATCATCATTTTATAAACATTATTTTTCTTTTTTATATTTTCTCATAGATTTTATTTAAAAAAAAGCTGGCAATGTTGTTGCTGGACTTTCATGGTGCACTGTTTTTATTCCTGATATTTTGCTACCATTATCTTTAAGCTTTCAGATGTACTGTACATAAAATAATTAATACATGTGATTATTCATTAAAAAAAATATGAGGGTCATTTAATTATTTTAAAAATACTACCCTCTTCTACCTCTTCAAGATATATAGATTTTTCATTTGTCTCAGGGACCTTGAAATGTTGAAAAATGCAAAAAAGTTGGGGTTTTTTCTGTATACAGTCCATTTCAAAATTATAAACACACCCAACTTCTTTCAATAACAAAACCATTAACAATAGTAATGTATTTATTATATTAGTATGTTGTTTACAACATCAATTTAAACATTTTCTGAAATTTTTAGAGCTATCTGACAATTACAAAAAAATTATCAAAGATTTTCAAGTTTTGATTGTTTCAAAAGTATAAACACAGGTGTATAAAATTAGCATGATAAGTTTTTAATTAATTATTGGTTTAATTAGTTGTCACCAGAGGATAGTATTGTTTATTATTACAAATGTGGAGCCAATTTTAAATGGTTTTTTTTATGATTTAAAACGATGCCTCATGGAAAAACACTAACAGAGTTGGAAATATGTAAAATTTATCAACTAAAAGGAGCAGGACAATCTCTAAGACGAATTTCGGCAGCTGTAAATCAATCTACATGTGCTGTAAGAAATGTATTAACTCTGGATGAAAATTATGACAGAAATAAGCGATGTGGAAGGCCTAAACTCCATACACCTAGAAATGAGAGAAAGGTTTTTGACTACTGACAGTCAACAAGTTGGCTGTCAGAGAATCAGCATCAATATTGCCAATTGCAGTTTCACCAGAAACTGTATGGAGATGTATGCATAATCATAAAAATGCCAAATTTACAAAAATGGCTGCCAAACTGAAATTAACACAATTGCAGAAAACAGCTAGATTAAAGTGAACCATAGACAAGATGACATGGAAAGAGGAGTGGACCCAAATAGTCTTTTCAGATGAAAAAAATGGAATTTGGATGGACCTGACAGTTACTGCCACTACTGGCATGATTTGAGGAAGAATGAAGAAGTCATAATGAGCAGACAGCAAGGTGGGAATCTCTGTGATGGTGTGAGCAGGATTTGGATGAAGGGGTAAAACTAACATTGTAGATATAGAAGATAGAATGAATTCAGAAAAGTATCAAGAATTATAGTATCAAAATTTAATAACTTTTGGATCACTTATTGGGTGAGAAAACTGACAGTTCCAACAGGATAATGCTACAATTCATGCATCAAAGTCAACTAAAAATTGGTTTAATGAAAAAAAATTAATGTATTGATTGGCCATCATGGAGTTCTGATATGAATCCAATAGAGAATGTTTGGGGCATTATAAGTCATCTTGTTTATGGCCAAATAGACAATTACAACATTGTAAATGAATTGAAATTAGCTATCATGCATTGTTGTGAAAATATTAAACAACAACAACTTCAAAAACTAGTAAAATGTATATCTAATATAGTATTTGAATTAATTAAATCAAATGGTGGACCTACAAAATATTGAGACATCACAAATCGTTTTTTAAGCACGTGTTTATACTTTATACTTTTGAAACAATCAAAAATTGAAAATCTTTGATAATTTTTTTTTGTAATTGTCAGATAGCTATAAAAATTTCAGAAAATGTTCAAATTGATGATGTAAACAACATACTAATATAATAAATACATTACTATTGTTAATGTTTTTATTATTGAAAAAAGTTGGGTGTGTTTATATTTTTGAAATGGACTGTATATGGATGTTTGTATTTATTTGGGGGACATGATTTTTTATCCATTTTGAAACCTAATAATTTCTGTGCTTTTTGTTGAAAATTTCCAAAATTTTGCGTGGAGGTTTATGTATTATGAAAAAATCTTTCTAGAAAATTTTCAGGAAAATCAGACCATTTTAGGAGATAAAGCTTCACTCCCTTAATATCTCTTAAACCAATGTTCCAATTTTCCTGAAAATTTTTAGGAACATTTATACACAAACTCCTATGCAAATTTCAGAAATTTTTGATGAAAGGCACAGGAGTGATTAAGCTTCAGATTGGGTGAAAAAATTATGTTTTGCACCTCACTAATATTAACATACATATAGAAAAGACTTCCAACTTTTTTGCATTTCTTGACATTTGTAGGTCCCTTGAAGTGGCAATACTAGATTGATCTGTCTTGCACTAATAATGCATTCATGTTCAAAGTCATTAAGTCACCAAATTTATCCATTTTCATTAATTTCAATATATTGTTGGGAAGACTAAATGTTTCCTATTTATACCTTGAGTTTGGTTTAGGCAAGTAAAACTCTCTGTTTGGGGGTTGATTCTCAGCTAACATTTCTCATCACAGCTGTCTCAAATGTTTTGATTAGTCAGTATGTATGTGCATGTGTGTGTTAAGTATACTGATAACAAATCCATATAGATTAACATCGAGATACTAATAAAATTTTAAAATCTGCATATTTTTAAATATTAATTAAAACTAAAAAAATTATTCTTATTAATATATAAGTTAGTATGAATGGATAACAAAAGAATTATTATTACAATAAAATTTACAGAATAGTGTTTACTATTAATAAAGTTTACTATTTTTGGGCTGCAATTTTAAAAAATTGTAGACCTATAAATTCCCACTGTCGTCTGTCTTTCCTTAATCTTCAGAAAAAAAAAATTACAGATGAAAGACGAGACCAGATATAGAAAGCTTAGGGGCAGAGGCCCCAATTAACTATATATGAACTTTCAGTGTAAACTGGAAGTCACATTATTTCAATTCCCCTGAAAGCAATTAATAGATGACCGGTACAACTCTATTCTTAAATGAAAAGTATGATGTACAGGAGGAAGCCACTACTAATTTGAGGCAGAGAGCATATATTTTAAATTAAATTAAAAATATAATTTTTTTTGCAGCCCAGCATATTGGTAAAAATATGATTAATAATTGCTCATTAATACATTCATCTATTATGTCTGTAATACCAATATATTGCAGTCATATGGAATTTGTATGATACAATCCAAAGCACATGGGTCAAATATGTTTGTGCTTGATTTTTCATTAGAATTATCTACAAAATTACATCATAAGTGATAATTTACATCATAAGTTTACATCATAATTTACATCATAAATTACATCATAAGTGATAAGTAAGAATAAGATGATGTATGTATTAAAACATATCATATGCTATATTGTATCATATGAATTCCAATCTGTTCATAACTAAGAACTTAGAGCTAGAAGGAAAAATTGCTTGGAATAAAATTTAGTAGAATTTTAATTTGTAATATAAAAATTTCATTAATATATTATCAAGATTATATACCAAAAATATATTTAATAGGCTACATTTAGCTAGAGAGAATGAAAAATTTTCATATCTTGAATATTTTATATATAATCTTATAAAATATCCAAAATGTAAAGATTTTGGACCATAACTAACAAACAGTTTTACTGAATATGAATTTTGGATCATTGAATTAAAAGCTATCTTTTGCTTGCTNAATTCAATTTTGTGTTAGTTTGGCCTCTACTAGGCCCCCCACAACAAAACTCTGGCTACGCCCATGTCCCTGGTAATAAACTATAAAATTATTTTTAAATTTTAGTCAGTGGCGGATAAAGAAAAGAAAGCCTTAAGAGTAGCACAGAGAGTACAACGCCAGCAAGAATTGAAAAGATTGCGTACAGCTCAAGAAATTCATAGACACCTCCAAGAACTTGAAGTTCAGCAGAGAGAACTAGAAAGACGAGGAGTGGAGGTTGAAAAAGCACTTAGAGGAGAAAGTGAAGGTTTGTTTTCCTTTGATTACATAGATAATAAAAATGTTTGCATATTTAACAGATAAATATTGATTAAATAATTTGTTTATTATTATTAGGAAGTTTGAGAAGGATCAGAGGAGAAACAGAATTGATGCAGGAATGGTTTAATTTAGTTCATGCCAAAAACAAATTAGTTCAGAAAGAACAGGAACTTTTAATTAGGTAATTATAAACGTGAGAAGCCAGAGGTTAGAGAGTAACGCTCTAAACCCTTTTTCTGACGTCAGTCCGGTAAAGACTGCTCAAGTGCCACTGGGATGGCTTTATTTGGTTAGAATTTAGTAGGAGGACATTTCTACCAGTGAGGGGGAGATGCGATGAGTCCGTCAATAGGGTGACCGTTTCTCCAAGTAAAGACAGGTGGACAGGATAACAAAATAACAAATTGAATAAGGATCATAAAGGGATTAAATACATGAGCGGATTACAAGATACAGTTAATTAATTGCTGTATGCATGAGGTTCTAGGAATACTGTTCTGCATTACTATCTTTTTATAAACTAACCGAGAGAGTTTACAATTCTAAAATACCTCTTTTGAGTAGATGATGTTTTGTGATATACTGTATTTGTACGATGTCAGCAAGATGTGGATCTCTTTACAGTTGTTTTAGTAGTCAGAGTGGCAAATATCTGGGGGGGATAAGGAGACAATCTGGACGATACATCAGTGTCACTAGTCACCATGTAAAAGACACTTCTTGGTGAACGATCGCTTCTATGAGAGTGTCCATACTTCATTGTAGGTCTGCCTGGAGTATGGCAAGATAAGCCATAGTCTATGGCTCTTTCTGGGGATATCTGTCCTGAAAGTCGGGTGTGTGGTTATTATATCCCCTCGTGTGGGAATTCGGTCTCGTGAATCTATATTGTCTGGTGATGATACTTCAAATGTGTCATCACTGGGCTGGCTAGGGTGGTGGGAATCAGACTTGTAGTTCTCCTTTTGTCGTGGAATTGTTTTAACTGTTGATGTTTCCAAGCATCAACAACTGGATAATATTGATGATTTTGAACAATTGTTGACAGTTTAACTTTATGTATGTTTACACATTATTTATTGGACCCGTGAGAAGACAGAAATACCGTAAATTGGGAAAACTTTTCTCCATTAGCATTAATTGCTATAATTAATTGTACAATAACTACTTGATCTTACATAAAAATACTATTAAAAAATCTAAATTCTTTCACCAGAATATAAAATTCTCATTTTAAAATTAAGTTAAATTTTTAATGACAGAATAGCAATGTAAAATATTCTTTAAGGCTTTTGAAAAAAATGACAAAAAAGTTTGTGAATTCAGTTTAAAAAGATTTAAAATTGTTACTAAATTACAAAAAAGGATTATTTTATATTTTCATGTTTTTTAACTCATGGAGAATTGTTAATGGTTTTATAAATTATAACCCGAAGAAATTGTTTAATGAAAATAGATATTTTCATTGCTAATATTGAGCGAAGAAATTGGTTATTTATTAAAAAATGTTAGGTATGATGAAATCCTGTATAATGTGATCCCTTATAACGCAACGAAAATTTTGTGACTAGAACTCATACAGTGCGATAAACAGTCTTGTATAATGCATTAGATAAAGTTAACGTTTTCACATAGTTTTAGATTTTTTGTTTAGAAAAGCGAAAATATACACTTACTAGTTGTTTATATTGGGTTGAGTCATAAATAAGTTTTGTTTTCTAAACTGAAATTTATTTGCCAATAAAATGTACAACGATAGACTTTAATCTAACATATATTTACCATCAATATTAATGACTTCTTGCCATTTTTCAGGCAACCTGTCAATTCCCCTTGCATAAAATTCAAACTGCTCTATCTGAAATTACACCACTGCCATAGACATTGCAAATCTTTTTTGCTGTTTCTGTAGCATTATTGCTGAGTTTAAACTCTCACAACATAATATGTCAACTGCATGCACTTTCAAATGTTCCCTTTTAAATAAATTCAAAAACAATTTTTTATTACATTATTGACATTTCAGTGTTAAAATTTACATTTACAGACTATTTGCTAATAGCCACTAATAAAATTCAGATGAAGCAACACATCTGGCAAGTATTTGACAGTCCTTTACACCTACCCACTAACGGAACTTATTTATGACTCAACCCAATATATGAACAGTGAAGCCAACAGTTTAAAAAAGAATTTTTTCATTGTAAATAATCTTCGAGCTCAGGTACAGAACAGTTATAAAACCAATTTTTAAACATTTCGCATGTAATCCATGCTTTTTTATTAGCTCTCCAGTGAACAGGAAGTGTTGATTTGTCTACGTTTTTCATTACACATGGATTTAATGTACAATTAATTAACATTGGTTTAGTTATATGTTCTCCAGTTGCATTATAACACAAAAGTAAGGTTATTCTATCTTTTGATGCCTTGAAACCAGAAGCGGAAGTCTCATCTTTCACAATATATGTTCTATTGGGCATTTTTTTTTCAATACAAACCAAATTCATCAACGTTATAGACTTGTTCTACTATATAATTGCCTTCCTCTATAATTTTGGAAAAATGTTTGGGAAATCTTTGACCATTTGCAATAACAGTTAAAATTTAGAGATGTGTTTTTGAACTTGCATAATTGGTCTGATAACGTATGCCTCCTATAATGCGATTTCCTACAACGTGGAATGTATTCCCTGTGTTATATGGGAGTCTACTATATTTGCAATGTCATTGCCTCAGGGTTTGTATGATTGGCAACACTATTGCCTTGGTAGGGGGATATAAAAGATGGTTAACAAAGGAACCCTTGTCCTTTGTCTAGCCCTTCATCTTACATAAAGGAAGTGCAATAAAGACAATTGTAAAGAGTCATGGACTTGTTCTTTTCATAATAATAAGGAAATAATATTGACAACGAGGATGGGATCTGATTTTTTTCTGTAAGTACTGCGTTTTTGTAAGACTTCTGGTTACATTAATAAGTCAACATTTGGAAGTATATAAGAATTTGACCCTAATACACTGAGTTCTTGAAAGACATACAAAGGATGTTTGGAATTCTATCAACTAGCAAATAATAATGATGATGAACAAAGAAAAGAAGTGATTCTTTTAAATGATAATCAGATCACAGACTTATGAACTAATTAGGTCATTGGCTGCTCCAAAATTAGAGAGCAATTTGAAATTTGAAGAAATAATTAATGCTTTTCTATATTTTGCAATCACTTCTTTAGCTTTGAGAATTGAAAAATTATTCAGTGGAAAACAATAACAGCAATTATATTTTTTATTCTATTTTTGATTTCATTATTAAATTAAATAAGCTTTATTCTATTTGATTTTTTTGTATGTAATATATATATATATTATTTTTTACCAATTTCTGTACAAATTTTGGAAAATCCACCAGCCTGCAATATATTTTGCAGACTGGTGGATATTTAAAATATAGATGAAGAATGAAAATTTTTTAAACTAAATCTTGGATTTGAATTCAAATGCTGTTTCAAAAATGCAAAATAATTTTCAAATATACAAAATTGGCTTTGTATTTTTTTATATTCTGGTTAGAGGATTTGATCCGGGATCTCGAAAATCAGGATCCCGACAACTTTTCAGTCCGAAAATTTTCGGGATTAAGTTTTCCTAATCCCGAGATTTTCGGGATTGACATCATTTTAAAAAAAGTTGCAAAATAGACTGCATGAAGCGAAACGTTTAGTGCCAGTGCTTTTAACAGAATTGCTTGCCTATCATTTTAATATAAAATACAAGAAATTTTATTCCAAGCAAGCAGCAGAAATTAACCTAGCGGGCTTGCGATGCTTGCTTGGAATAAAACTTCTTGTATTTTCAACTAAAATGATAGGCAAGCAGTTCTCACTGGGTTACTTGGTAATATACTTCATTTTTGTATTTTTGAATTTTCGCGGGCGCCAATCGATTTTCTGGCGCAGTCGAGAGCACTACTCAGTGCGTTTTACCTGTCAATGTGTCAGCCATCTTGTTTTGCCAGTGTGGTTAATATAGACCTGACGCTACTCGCTTAGGGGGGTCGACCTTAGGTGAAAAGGTTATGACCCTCGCCTTGCCCGCGATCTGTCAGGATGATGCGAGAAAGTCTTTTTACCTTTTGGGATAGTGGTTTGCTGGACGCTGAGAGACTCACACAGAGACCAAATTTACAAAATTAACGCGTTTATTTTTAGAAAGACATGCTTACAATGATCGAAACAATCGGGATTGTAGCCTTTACTCCTACAATCCCGATCCGTGTCGACCGGACTGTTTTCTTCCATCCTCCCCGTGTCCTCGAAGCTTATAAGTATTTACTAACGATTCCTCCAACTTCCATCAAACCTAAACGCGTTTTCTCAGCAGCTGCATATATGTGCAACAAATTGAGAAGCAGACTTGGTGATGAGACACTGGATGCGTTGTTATTTCTCAGATCATATTTTCGCAATTCAAATTAGAATGTTCCTATTAGATTAGTTTTCTTTATATTTAAGAAAAATGTGACTGATTAATATTATTTTTAAATACTTTTTGCTAAGAAACTTACTTTACTACCTACTTACTAGGTTGTTATATGAAAGTAGTCTATTTAGTCGATGTTAAGAGAGATTTTTGTTAATTTTCAACGTTTATTTGCATAGTTTGTTACATAAAGGTTTTTTCAATTTATGTGAGTTTAAAGAGATCTCAGTGATGCTTAAAAAAGAATAAATTTAACATGAAACAGTGATTTTAAGTCTGGTTAGTCTGACTCTAAGTCTGATTAGTTAGAGTGATTAAATTAACTAGGTGTATACCATAAAATACGTTGATTTTTGTCTAAATTTTGATTTTTGATTTCTGTAAGATTTTCTTATTTTTTATTAACCCTCAATACCAAAATGATCCCGGGATTGAATAAGTATAATCCCAAAATCCCGGGATTAGAAATAAGGACCGGGATCGAATTCCCTAATTCTGGTAGATATTATATAACAGATGTAGTCAAAAATAATTTAAACATATGGAATTCCATAGATTTATAAAATTTATAACAAAATGAGTTTACATCATTGAAGAAGAATCATAAATAAAACTGAGTATAGTATTTTAACATAATGTTTATAATGCAAAATTATAATCAAGACAAAAACTTTAATTTTATATCAAAACTACCATAAATTACAGTGTATAAGTCAGACATGGGCAAATGCGACTCCGAGAGCCGCACATGGCTCTTTTTGAGTTACATGCAGCTTTTGCTGAAAGTGTTAATTTCTGCTTTTTATTATTGTTTTTACAATTTTATTTCCACAATTTTGTGAAAATATGTTTATTAAAAAAATTCAATATTTGTTTTATATTATATAATAAAATTGTGTTACAGAATAAAAAAGTACAGAACTGCGGCTCCCATGCATTTTGCAAAATTACATTTCAGCTTCCACTGAACTCTTGCTTGCCCACCCCTGGTATAAGTAAACTTTTTCAACCTGAAAATAATTTTTTGAAATTAGTTCAATGTATATGTTGTATATGTTAAGGAAAAAGTGATTAATACGGGCATTATTCATAAGGACCAACAAAATCAGGCATTGTAATAAATTTCAATAATTTATCAAATTGACCAGTCATTATGAATACTGCTATCATCTAGTCAGGCAAAGTGATAATAATGTGCTGAAGAGTGATCATCCAAAATATGCTAGCCAATCAGCACTCGCATCTGAGTTGCGTGTGCGTGTTGCACTTAGTACTGAATTTGGGGTGGTCGCATCTGTTTGTGCTTTTGACGGACTCCTCCCGGAGGGCTGCTGCCGGCAGGCCACATATTGTTTAACATCACTAGATATTAATTCATGGTAGTTCTTGAACACACATATCAATAACTAGTATGCATCAATATCTAATGATATTAAACAATCGGCGGCCTATCAGCAGCTTCCCCCCGGGAGGAATCCGTCAGGAGCACAAACAGTTGCGACCACCGCCGTTACGGTGCACGTAGGTAAAATTTTACCATTTAATTAATATAGTTAATAGTACTTAGTTTTAAAAGATTACATGTTTTTTTAAATACTTTGAAATAATTCACAAAAAATAAATATTTCTAAATGAAATAAGTGGAGTTTTTTAATCAAATTAAAATGTCCCACAATTTAAAATTCAGTACTAAATGCAATATGCACTCAACACGATACAATCAGCAACTCAGAGTGCCAATTGGCTAGCGTATGTCGGATGATCACTTTTCAATGTATTATCATCACTTTGCCCGACTAGGTGATAGCAGTATTCATAATGACTGGTCAATTTGATAAATTAATGAATATTTATCATACTGTGCACCCTTTTTGGTCATTATTCATAATGTCCGATTAATCACTTTGTCCATAGCATATACAACAAGTATAAAATTAAATTTTTTACTACTGAGTGTTAATTCCTGACAATCTCTATTTACCATTATTCTAACAGACCATCATATATTTTTAAAACTAAAAGTAATGTTTGATGTTTGTTTAACTTATTTGACATATAGAATACATAGAGAACTGTACAGAATATAATGCTGATAGTATAGCACATTTATTATTTCACAGCTGATTGTGATGTGGGTAGTGAATTAACTCCATTTACATTGTTGATGTAAATGATGGAGTAAAAGCAGTCATACTAAAGTATTTTATTATCAAATACCATATGTGACAGTTCAATCATATGTTGTGTAAATTGTTAATATTCTATTTGAGGTATTGATTTTGATCTGAAATGGTTTACTTGATGAACAAGAGAATTCTTACTGAAATAAGCAATAATTAAAAATCTTCAGTAAGTTGTCTTACATAGATTCAATTTCTCAAGTATCCTTTTTTTCTGTGAGCTAGATAATACATGTATATATCATCTATTAATAGGTAATAGTTGGTGTCTTGATATAAATGGTGTAGTCTTATTGTCATGCACACTGTTGCCATCAGTGGTGGTCTGGCCCACTGGAAAATTGGGAATTTCCCTGTAGGCCCTTTGCTCAGTGGCTTTTTCTTATTTTATATACATTATGTTTCATTAGGGAAAAATAAATTAATAAACAAAATGCAATCATTCAAAATTCAATTAAATTTTAAAACTGTCTTACTCTAATTTAGGCCTCTACAGTCTAATACTTGAAAATTTAAAGTGACTGGCTCAGATTTGGACATGAGCCACAGTGGAATGACCTGTGTGAACTGACATTTAATGCACTATGATATCTATTTTGTAACTTCTAATTTGAAAATAAATTATCACAATTCATGCCATAGACTGCTATGTTTTTTTTTTAAACTCCCTTCACCCTGTGGGCACTAAGAGAACTTTTTTGAGCTTATTGTAGATTCAGCCAAGTCCACAATGGGAGCAGTCATATGGTGAGCAACAGGACATGCCATATCTGGGATGGAGCACCCTTTGAAAAAGACCACTGTCCAGATCCCCAGAATGATACACTAACAGTCACCAAAAATATATGGATTTATATCTTGGTATGCAGGTAACCTCCATATAACACGGCACTTCTATAACACGGATTCACTCTAACAGTTCAAGAATTGGGAACATTCCCGTATAACACTGTGCTTTTATAGCACGGATTTACTCTAACATGGTTCAAGAATTGGGTAAAACCCTCGTACAACATGAAATGTACAGTAATAAAAACTACTAAAAGTGAACTTTATCTAATTTGAAATTAGGGAAATCCCCGTACAACAATAAACGTGATAAAGCTTTTAAGTGCGAAAGATACCTTATTTGACATTTTTCATTCAAGTGTGTATGTACTGTCAGATTTTCCTGCATAATTTTCATGAACTATTAGTACTTAATACTAATAATACTTAGTACTTATTACTATTATAAATTTTCTTTTCTCACCTTCTGTCGATACACATAATCCTTCTCGAAACTTGTTTCAGTGTTGCTAGATCTTGATGCTTCTGATTTTGGTGTTGCCAGATGTTTTTCCCTTATTCCATACTTGCTTTATTCTTCATAAGTGCTTAGCACCATATAAGGAAATTTATAAAGATCTTTTAACTGAAAGCAAGTAATTGAAAATAACATATTTTTTGCAAAAGGTAGAGCATGGATCTGAAGATAATGCAGAAAAATGCTCAGAGGATAAGGATATCTTGCCAAAAAGAAAATGCCCTCGGTTAATAGTGCTTAGTGATGACAAAGAAAACATTGTTTAATTTATATTAATATGTATCAGTTAAAAAAATNAATCTACAACTTAGATATATAATTATTCTTTTAACTCAAAAAAATCTAATATTAATTATTTCTCAAATAAAAATTTAATTTAGAGCCAAAGATGTTGAGTTAGAGGAAAGACATAGTCGGCTCCAACAAGAAATGAGACAAAGAATGACTGAAAGTGGTAAGATATTTTATTTCAGAAGTATGTTTAATAAATATAAATTAATCTTATAAAAATTTTTATTGGTAGGTGTTCAGAAAAGTAAAACTGAAATTGAAGAAGAAGGAAAAATTTTAGCTGAAATGTTAGAAATTGTAGAAAAGAGGGATGAACTTGTATCAATGATTGATCAACTTCGAATTAGGTAATTTTTTTTTTTGTGATTTCAATAACTCTCATGATGTTGAATATAATCAATCTTTTAATTTTAGAGAAGAAGAAGAAGACAGAGATTTAGAATCAAAAATGTTAGCAAATGGATTGCAGTTTTCTCCTACAGATAAAAGTTGAAGTCAGATTTAAATAGAAGTGAAATCTATTTTATCACACAGAGAAGACAAAGCACACTAGACTCGGAAGAGCAAAAGTGATTGCTGCCAATAATCAAGAATGCATCAGGTCAAGAACAAGACATCTCAATAACAGCATAGCATACGTTAGAAATTGCAGTACTACAATTGTACCAATTTGTTTGAAATTATATATTTAATTTTTAGTGATAAGAAGAATAATTCCTTGATACCAAGACATTTTATTTGTAAATTATGATGCATTTATATAAAAAATGCTTATTTCCTTTGTAAGCAGAATTTATTGTATATTATAATGGAATCACCAGTACTTTATAGTTCAAAACAATTTTTATAAATTGAACTAATGAAATCTTCATATTGCAGTAAAATGCAATGTTTTGAATGATAATCTGTAAATGTGTTTAATCAAGAATATTTCTTGATCAGAAGTTATAGCTTATAATTGCATCCTCCTAACAAATGAGCTAGTTAGTATGTAGGTATTTAAGATGTATCGTTTCTTAAAGAAAATTTTAATAAAGATATTTATCTTAATTATGAAAATATAATAGCATGCTTTTTAATTTTTGGAACCTAATCCCCTTTTCGTACTAGTTCTTTGTTTTGTATAACACATATTTGCATAACAGCAATTTTTTGGAGCATAACGCTCGTGTTATACGGGGGTTACCTGTATATTCCTGGACTGAAATTTGTTGCCAGTCTGATGTTGGTTATCTTAGGCTGTTGTATAACCATATCCATGATGCATTCAAGCTTGTCATTAGTTCATCATACGTATGTTTGATGATTAACTTATACAATACATACAGATCTAAACCAGAATTTTGAGTTAAAAATCTTGAAGTCAATTTATGGTATATTTTGCAATGTAACATTTTATTCTGACTTATTACTTTACAGTATTTCTTATTTTTTATTCTATAACACAATTATTGTTAATTACTATTTGTTTGTGTGAAGAAAGCACCAGGAAAAAAATGTGATGACATCAAGTGAGAATGCATATTTAAAAGTAGAAATGTCCCAATGTTTTATTTAAGTGAATACAATTTTCATATTGTTTTATTTATCATTTAGTAATTTTAATTTTCTTTAAAACTAATAATAATAACATCTAGAAGTTAATTTGCTGTACTTATTCCTAACTATATATAATTGGTTTTATTTTATTTCATGTATACAGTATATATTATTAAATGGAAGTATTTATAGAAAATGTTATTGTCTATTAATAAATGGAAAAAATATTTAAAACTAAATTATTTTGATAAAGAATTAAAATCAAAATAATGATTATATTCAGTTAATTTGTCTAATGAAAGAGTTTCTAATGATTAAATGATAATCATTAGAAATATATTATATGAGAAATATGTCAAGTTTCTTCTTTTCACATACAAAATGCAATAAAAATCCATATTATAGCAGAAAATATTTTTCCTATATAATTTAATGATGAACAAAAGTTATTGTTTTTACAGTTAAAGTTCTCTTAACTGATCCATACTTAATAAACTTTACTTAATTAACCCCATGCTGTTTCTCTCTATATATATATCGTAAAATAGTAAATTCACAGTATCTGAATAGTTGCAATAAAAAGAAAACTTTTTATTTTTGTTGTTATATGTTTCAAAATCATAGTACAAATTGGAAATAAAAAATTTTATAGAGTGAATTACTTTATTTATATTTCATTTTCTAAAGATTTTTGTTATACTATAAAAACAATCATCTTGAAATAACAAAATTATGAATCAAATGATAAAATAGTGTAATGAATTAACTCATTATAAAAAAAATGTTTGAGATCAATGCTTTCTAAATGAAAAATTTTTTTAAACAAAATACTTAGTAAATGAATAAGAAGTATTTGTATATTTTGTAAAAATAAATTTTTAAGATGTAATATTTCTGTTTTAAATTTTCTGATCAACTAACTAGCAATTGATCTAATTAGTTAGATCAATCAAGGAAGTTTCTATTATATTTGCTTATTTTTCTAGTATTGAAATAGGTATTTTTTAAATAATGATTTATTTATTGAAATAAATTCTGAATGGTAAAAGCTAATCTACAACTTAGATATATAATTATTCTTTTAACTCAAAAAAATCTAATATTAATTATTTCTCAAATAAAAATTTAATTTAGAGCCAAAGATGTTGAGTTAGAGGAAAGACATAGTCGGCTCCAACAAGAAATGAGACAAAGAATGACTGAAAGTGGTAAGATATTTTATTTCAGAAGTATGTTTAATAAATATAAATTAATCTTATAAAAATTTTTATTGGTAGGTGTTCAGAAAAGTAAAACTGAAATTGAAGAAGAAGGAAAAATTTTAGCTGAAATGTTAGAAATTGTAGAAAAGAGGGATGAACTTGTATCAATGATTGATCAACTTCGAATTAGGTAATTTTTTTTTTTGTGATTTCAATAACTCTCATGATGTTGAATATAATCAATCTTTTAATTTTAGAGAAGAAGAAGAAGACAGAGATTTAGAATCAAAAATGTTAGCAAATGGATTGCAGTTTTCTCCTACAGATAAAAGTTGAAGTCAGATTTAAATAGAAGTGAAATCTATTTTATCACACAGAGAAGACAAAGCACACTAGACTCGGAAGAGCAAAAGTGATTGCTGCCAATAATCAAGAATGCATCAGGTCAAGAACAAGACATCTCAATAACAGCATAGCATATGTTAGAANAGGATATCTTGCCAAAAAGAAAATGCCCTCGGTTAATAGTGCTTAGTGATGACAAAGAAAACATTGTTTAATTTATATTAATATGTATCGTTTCTTAAAGAAAATTTTAATAAAGATATTTATCTTAATTATGAAAATATAATAGCATGCTTTTTAATTTTTGGAACCTAATCCCCTTTTCGTACTAGTTCTTTGTTTTGTATAACACATATTTGCATAACAGCAATTTTTTGGAGCATAACGCTCGTGTTATACGGGGGTTACCTGTATATTCCTGGACTGAAATTTGTTGCCAGTCTGATGTTGGTTATCTTAGGCTGTTGTATAACCATATCCATGATGCATTCAAGCTTGTCATTAGTTCATCATACGTATGTTTGATGATTAACTTATACAATACATACAGATCTAAACCAGAATTTTGAGTTAAAAATCTTGAAGTCAATTTATGGTATATTTTGCAATGTAACATTTTATTCTGACTTATTACTTTACAGTATTTCTTATTTTTTATTCTATAACACAATTATTGTTAATTACTATTTGTTTGTGTGAAGAAAGCACCAGGAAAAAAATGTGATGACATCAAGTGAGAATGCATATTTAAAAGTAGAAATGTCCCAATGTTTTATTTAAGTGAATACAATTTTCATATTGTTTTATTTATCATTTAGTAATTTTAATTTTCTTTAAAACTAATAATAATAACATCTAGAAGTTAATTTGCTGTACTTATTCCTAACTATATATAATTGGTTTTATTTTATTTCATGTATACAGTATATATTATTAAATGGAAGTATTTATAGAAAATGTTATTGTCTATTAATAAATGGAAAAAATATTTAAAACTAAATTATTTTGATAAAGAATTAAAATCAAAATAATGATTATATTCAGTTAATTTGTCTAATGAAAGAGTTTCTAATGATTAAATGATAATCATTAGAAATATATTATATGAGAAATATGTCAAGTTTCTTCTTTTCACATACAAAATGCAATAAAAATCCATATTATAGCAGAAAATATTTTTCCTATATAATTTAATGATGAACAAAAGTTATTGTTTTTACAGTTAAAGTTCTCTTAACTGATCCATACTTAATAAACTTTACTTAATTAACCCCATGCTGTTTCTCTCTATATATATATATCGTAAAATAGTAAATTCACAGTATCTGAATAGTTGCAATAAAAAGAAAACTTTTTATTTTTGTTGTTATATGTTTCAAAATCATAGTACAAATTGGAAATAAAAAATTTTATAGAGTGAATTACTTTATTTATATTTCATTTTCTAAAGATTTTTGTTATACTATAAAAACAATCATCTTGAAATAACAAAATTATGAATCAAATGATAAAATAGTGTAATGAATTAACTCATTATAAAAAAAATGTTTGAGATCAATGCTTTCTAAATGAAAAATTTTTTTAAACAAAATACTTAGTAAATGAATAAGAAGTATTTGTATATTTTGTAAAAATAAATTTTTAAGATGTAATATTTCTGTTTTAAATTTTCTGATCAACTAACTAGCAATTGATCTAATTAGTTAGATCAATCAAGGAAGTTTCTATTATATTTGCTTATTTTTCTAGTATTGAAATAGGTATTTTTTAAATAATGATTTATTTATTGAAATAAATTCTGAATGGTAAAAGCTAATCTACAACTTAGATATATAATTATTCTTTTAACTCAAAAAAATCTAATATTAATTATTTCTCAAATAAAAATTTAATTTAGAGCCAAAGATGTTGAGTTAGAGGAAAGACATAGTCGGCTCCAACAAGAAATGAGACAAAGAATGACTGAAAGTGGTAAGATATTTTATTTCAGAAGTATGTTTAATAAATATAAATTAATCTTATAAAAATTTTTATTGGTAGGTGTTCAGAAAAGTAAAACTGAAATTGAAGAAGAAGGAAAAATTTTAGCTGAAATGTTAGAAATTGTAGAAAAGAGGGATGAACTTGTATCAATGATTGATCAACTTCGAATTAGGTAATTTTTTTTTTTGTGATTTCAATAACTCTCATGATGTTGAATATAATCAATCTTTTAATTTTAGAGAAGAAGAAGAAGACAGAGATTTAGAATCAAAAATGTTAGCAAATGGATTGCAGTTTTCTCCTACAGATAAAAGTTGAAGTCAGATTTAAATAGAAGTGAAATCTATTTTATCACACAGAGAAGACAAAGCACACTAGACTCGGAAGAGCAAAAGTGATTGCTGCCAATAATCAAGAATGCATCAGGTCAAGAACAAGACATCTCAATAACAGCATAGCATATGTTAGAAATTGCAGTACTACAATTGTACCAATTTGTTTGAAATTATATATTTAATTTTTAGTGATAAGAAGAATAATTCCTTGATACCAAGACATTTTATTTGTAAATTATGATGCATTTATATAAAAAATGCTTATTTCCTTTGTAAGCAGAATTTATTGTATATTATAATGGAATCACCAGTACTTTATAGTTCAAAACAATTTTTATAAATTGAACTAATGAAATCTTCATATTGCAGTAAAATGCAATGTTTTGAATGATAATCTGTAAATGTGTTTAATCAAGAATATTTCTTGATCAGAAGTTATAGCTTATAATTGCATCCTCCTAACAAATGAGCTAGTTAGTATGTAGGTATTTTAGGTTTCAATATCAAATACAAGCAGCTTTAATCATGCAGCTTATATAGCAAATAGTGATATATTATTATTATTATTATTATTACTAATAATTTTGATGAAATTATTTTATTGTGCCAAAATTAATAGTAATATAAAAGCAAATATATGGAAATAAGCAAATTTTTCCAATTTAATTAAGAAATAAGTTATATGTTTATATTAGCTAGTTTTTCTAGCCTTTATTTCTAGAATTTTTACAATTGTGTTGACTTTTGATGAACATTTCTTTTATGTAAATTAATTAGTATAAATTATACATCCTCAATCTTAAACAATTAAACAATAAGTTATCAATAATCATATAAGATTTATTTATAATTTGCATACTATTGAGAAGAACAAATTACTATAATAAAAGGTAAGAAATTATTAACTAAATAGTTAATTCCCTTAACTGTATGGCTTGTGATATTCTAGATAAGTAAATTTGAGATATTGATAAAGAAAATTTGTAGTAAATTCCCATCAAAATATATGTAAAAAAGAAAGAAAATTAAGAATGTTTCTTAATCTTAGATCATATCAGGATTTTAACTCTTTTATTATTTTTAAAAACTATGAATAATATGCTATTTTATATTAATTTCATAATATTAATATAAATTCATTCATGTAAAAAGAATTTGATACAAAACTAAAATCATTTTTTTTTTTTAAACACTTATTGGAAAGTCTTCAAGATCACTGGAACATTAATTTTCATATTTTTCTATAATTGAATTTTTTTAAAAATAGCAATTTATTTATTTATAAAAGATTGCAACTAATGTGATATATCACATGAGAATTACTAGTGTTATATTATAGTTAAACAAAAATATTTTCAAAACTATATATCAATAATCATTGTACTGTAAACTGTGTATTTACAGAAATTATAGACAATTGATAAAATATTTAATAATATCCATAAGAATATATTTGTAATAATTAAACAAAAAATAATTTTAGCATTTTTCTTATTATTAGAATAAAATAAGATGATTCATTTATTTACAGATTTATTTTATGAATGATTATCCAGGATCTTATAATACCTTAACAATCATTTTTTATTTAGCGATTATTATTATATAAACGAAAAGTTTAACTCAAATATAATGTAAAAAGCAAATCAGTTATCAATTTTTTTGCAACTTTTGTCTAGTTAAATTAAATTTTTGTCTATGAAAAAAATCTGAGTAGGTATGTCTTATCATGCTTCTAATTTTTTCTGAATAAAATTATCTATCTGCATGATGTATTTTCACTATCAAATATCTTGTGCATAAAATATGTTTATACAGTAGACCCCCCCTATAACGCTTAGATACGTTCCACGCTAACTGAAAATTACGTTGTAGGAATGATTAAATACATGAGCCAATCGCAGCCCGATAGGTGGGAACTTTACGGACTAAGGCTGTTTGAAAGGTTTTCTTCTATAAAATTAACCGATTCTAGACTAATTCCACTCAACATTTCCAAAATACGTATAATTTTTTGGGAATAATCCGTATAAACTATGCTATAAACAAAAAATTATAGGATTACTTACCGAGTGTGTACCGTTCGACTACGCCGTTGCTTAAAGCTGGTTTTCATCGCGGAACAGCACATTAAACGGCGGCCGCGATTTCTAATAACGAATTTTTCGCATAAAAATAACTTGACCTTTGGAGACATCATTAATATAAATAATTTTTATGGCCGTTGAATAAGAAGTGTTTCTTTCACAAGAAATGTATAAAATTAGTGCTGTATTAGACTTACGGTACCTAATTTACATACTGTGCAGACGATAATAAACTCAACTTACTAGCCTAAAATCTCCGTAGCGTGTTGCCAGGCGGCAGAAAGCATATATATAATTATAATAAAGTTACAATAAATTAAGTTAATATATAATTATATATACAGTACCTAATTTATATATAATTAATATATAATTATATGTACAGTACCTAATTTATATATAATACTAAACAGACGATAGCAAACTCAATTTAGCCGCTCCGTAGCGTGGCGCAGGGTCGGAGGTAAGTAGTTCGGCTGCTCATCCACTATTGGTCCAGACTCTATCAATCTTCTCGCGAAACGACGTTATAGGAGGTACGTTATACGAAAGTTTCTACAATTTTTTCGCTACGTTATAGGAATTGTTGTTATAGGAACGTACGTTATAGGGGGGTCGACTGTATAATACTTTCAGTCTATATGAATTTATGTTGGTAATCTAAGCAGATCATAATTTTGATTCATATCTTTCATGTAACCCGCAGAAAGAAATCTTAGGGGATCAAATCAGAAGATCTTGGCGGCCATGTTATTGGACATACCTGATAAAATGGCCACCTCCTGCAGTTTCTCCTGTGGCAAAGCCATCACTTGATGATAATGCTCATGATTCAAATGATTCAACTTCTGTGCCATCTTGCAGTATAAAAAATCTCTATAAAACTTTGAGTTTTTCCACCAGATGCCACTTGTTGCTTTTATTTATCTTAAACTATTTATTTTTTATGGCAAATTAAAATCAAGTACCTTCAAATAGAACACCCTGCATAATGGCTTAATAGAAACTTTACAAAAGAAAAATACAATAAGTTATATTAACAATTGTTTATTAAAATTTGCTGTGTATTTCAATTTTATACGATATATTTTATTAATTATATTATGTAATCATGTAATATTGAATAGATTTCCAAAGTAGTAATATTTAAACTTATAGTCATTTTTGTTGTAAATTCTGATTGCTCATGATAATAAGGGAATTACAGTAATATTTAAAGTTTATATGAATAGTTATCAGAATTGCTGATTACTTTTACCTACATTATTAGAAAATTGAAAATTCATTTAAAAAATAGTCATTGAAATACAATTATTGTCATTCATTTATATTTTATTTTAGAATAAGATTTACTCAATTATCATCATGTATTTTTCGTATTGAAAGATATTTGAATTCAATTAAGTATTTATTTATGTGAAATTCTGCAATAATATGCTTTCACTATAAACACTCTTCTGTATATAAGACATCTGAAATTCATTGCATATAAATCAATATGGATAAGATAGACAGATAATTTTATTTTGAAATAAAATTACATTTTGCTGCACATGTAATTTCAATAATCATATTTTTTAATTTATTTACAATAACAATAATAGCTTTTTCATAGGTAGAAATGAATAACTAGACAAAATTTTCATTTAAAAATTGTAAATAAAAAAATTATAAGAGCTTGAGTGCTTTTTATATCATATCTTAATTTCAACTAAATTATTTTATTCTCATCCTTTCTTTTGTGTTCAAGTTGACATTAATTCTGTTATTTTAGGTTTTTATAAAAACTTATGTGCAAAATAAATTTACAGTATTAATGTTGTTATGATCAACATATTTCTCATAAAAATGGTATTAAAAAAGTTGTAATGTATATTTTATTTACTAGTGACTAGAGGCATTATTTAATAAAACAGTTTAAAGAAATGGAGAAGCAGAGAAGATGGACAAAAGTAAAACTTTTAGAATATTAGTATTAAAATTTACTTGAATGCTAATAAACAGAAAACTATTAAAAACTTTGTTGTGAATATAACAAAGTATAGTTTATGATTTAATGAAAAAATTTCTAGATAAGAGAATTGCAACACAACAATTTTTATGAATAAACAGTTGAACTATGTAAATTAATCTCTGGAATATATTAATTTTTGATTTAATTTGAAAATTAATAAACTCTAAAGAACATTTTTTTTTATAACTACATATTTAAAACTGACTTTAATAAATTGACAAAATTTGTTATTAAGTTGTCAGAAAATGTCATTGAAAACTTTCTTTAATGAGAGATTCTAAAATAAAACAATGTCATTTTTATACATTTAAAATAAATCTAAATTTTAGGCTGATATTGATTTATGCAGAGATTTATAAACATTTTTAGTGATTCAAAAAGATTAAGTATAACATACTGTATATAAAATAAGTAAACTTTTAATTTATATCAAATAGTAATATGCAAGACCCAAAGAAGAAATAATATATGGAAAAAAGAAAGAAAAATTATTTATTGATGTTATTCTTGAAAAAGTCTGTTGGAGAAATGGAAATCATTAAAAAAAATTATAAATGAGAGAATAAATAATCTGATATACAGGCTTAAAATATTTCATTAATTGTAGAAAGAGAACATTTTAACATTTAAAAATAAAAGATTTTATATAATGATTACTTTAAATAAAGACAAATTTAAGTATGTTTTTAAAAATATAAATTGAAAACATAAATTCTTTTAATTCTTTTTACCTCTATGTCATTACTCTTATAAATTTCTGTGTATCCTGTCCATTTGGACCTTGTTTATTAATAGGACTATATTATATTATACTGGTGTAGTTTCTGATTAGCAAATAGAGATGATCTTAGTCAAAAGTCAAACCAAGATATCTTTATTTTCACCTGAAAATATATTTTGTTTTGACTTTTGACTAAGATCTGCTTGATTTTGACTCTTTATTTGCTAAACTGAAATTCTTTTATTCAAATTTATATTATGTGTGTTACTAATTATATACTTTTGTATAAAATAGTTAAATATTGATATTATAAACTTTAATTATATTATTATAATTGTTTAGTAATTTTTAGATTCACACATTTATCAGTTTGTTTATTTTATCTTTTAGGAAGTGTAATATACTTTTGAATTTGTTAAATAAAGTGAAACATTTTAAAGCTGTCTTCATACTAAAATATTGGTTATGATAAAGTAACAAAAACAAAATCAATTCCTCAAGTACTTTTAATAAATTTGTTTATATTGTATTTGAATATTTGATTTTGTTTTAACTAATTTTGATTGCTTTTTAAAAATATTTCATTTTATTTAATTATTTTATCTTATATTTAAGAATTTTTTATTATTGTAATTTAAAATTAAAATATATTTCCTTATGAATTATTTTCATTATTATTATTTGATTTTTTATTTCCAATAATTATCAATTATAAAATGATAGATTCTTCAGATGATGATAAATTTTTTTACATGATATATTCATATATATTTATTTTCTTATCTGTTTTAGCTAT